TCTTTGGGCAAGTTAGCAGGTTATCTGGCAATTGCCGTCATGATTATTGTTTGTTGGTAGAAAAGCATAACTTACTCTTTGTGTATGCCTCATATCTTGGTTTGGGTTATAAAGGAACCTGATGATATTAAAGAATGGCTCTCTGTTTATATATATATTTATTTGTCACTTCTTTCATAGAAGGATCCTGCTTATTTTTACGGATATGTGTATTTCCGACAAGTTCGAGATAAAACTCTAAAAAGAGGCTACTTTCAGAAGGTAATTTTATTATACACTAGTAAAAAAGTATTTTTTTTTATTGAATTAGAAAAATAGAAACTGTGAGATTTAACTGTCTTTAAAGTGTGTAGATTTTTTTTTTTTTTTGGCAGCTGGGCCAGTACAGGAATCTGAACCCTTGACCTTAGTGTTACAAGGCCTCATTCTGACTGACTGAGTTAACAGGCCAGCACTTAAAGTCTCTGGTATTTTATCTTTAAACATACTAGAGTGTGTATTTTATTTTTGTTGTTTAGATTATAGACACGTCCTTAGATTTTTAACTGCTTTTGAATTTTTGCTATCTCTATGCTAGATTCCTGACAGTAAGTCACAGTTATTGTATGGAACTGTCAAAAGCCAAAAGAGTCTGCTTGACCTTGTTATTTTAGAATAAGGGAAAGAATAAGGCAATTGTAATATTGTTACAACTAATAAAAGCCTGCAGTTTTTTGGAGAGCCAGTAAATAAACTTTAGCAACGTCTTAGCCATTATTGTTTTTATTCTAAATGTACAATATTTTTCATTCTTAAAAAAAAAAAATCAGTCTAACCCGTTTTATCCCAGCTAGCAGTACACACCTTTCTCCTTTGTAACCCGAATTTGCCCAGACCACTGACTGATGCTGGATGGAAAGGTAGAGTGGTTTTCAAGAAAAAATACATTAAAAAAAAAAAAAAGATCAGCATATTCTATATCAGAAGTGATCAAATTATAATATCACAGTTTCTGAGTATGTGGCTATGACAGTTAAACTGTAGAATGTAATAGTCATAGGTCTTTTGCAAAACCATCACAATTTGCTCTTTCCTTAATTGGAAGAGCAATTTTTTAATATTGCTAATTCCTTTTTTTTTTGGCAGCTGGCTGGTATGGGAAGCCAAACCCTGACCTCAGTGTTATCAGCACCATGCCCTCCCAGAAAAACTAATTCCTGATATTGCCATGCTAAGGACAACAGTTGTAGGACTTTGGAAATTGTCCATGACATTAGTCTGTTTTTTTTTTTTTTTTTTTTTTTTTTTTAAAGATGACCGATAAAGGGATCTTAACCCTTGACTTGGGGTTGTCAGCACCACCCTCTCCCAAGTGAGCTAACCGGCCATCCCTATGTAGGGATCCGAACCCGTGGCCTTCGTGTTATCAGCACCATGCCCTCCCAGAAAAACTAATTCCTGATATTTCCATGCTAAGGACAACAGTTGTAGGGCTTTGGAAATTGTCCATGACATTAGTCTTTTTTTTTTTTTTTAAAGATGACCGATAAAGGGATCTTAACCCTTGACTTGGGGTTGTCAGCACCACCCTCTCCCAAGTGAGCTAACCGGCCATCCCTATGTAGGGATCCGAACCCGTGGCCTTCGTGTTATCAGCACCATGCCCTCCCAGAAAAACTAATTCCTGATATTTCCATGCTAAGGACAACAGTTGTAGGGCTTTGGAAATTGTCCATGACATTAGTCTTTTTTTTTTTTTTTAAAGATGACCGATAAAGGGATCTTAACCCTTGACTTGGGGTTGTCAGCACCACCCTCTCCCAAGTGAGCTAACCGGCCATCCCTATGTAGGGATCCGAACCCGAGGCCTTGGTGTTATCAGCACCACACTCTCCCAAGTGAGCCACGGGCCGGCCCCCAACATTAGTCTGTTTATAGGAAATTCTTTTTCCTGAACAGCAGGAGAATCTGTGAATATGCCTTTATGCTCTTAAAGTCTAGTAACAAGATTAAGCTTTTTGCATTCTGTAGCTAGGTTTTATGTTTCCTTTTAACCATTCACTGTAAAAGCCTTTATATTTCTAAATCCACACTTTTCACTGAATTTAGCTCGTTAGTAATTGCTCATGTAAGAAATGACAGGCAAACTTAAATTATAATTACTAAGCAATTAACAAAACATTGTTTCTTTTTTTCCCCAGTCATTGGTTTTAATCAGCAAACTACCTTATATTCATTTTTTTCATACTGTGCTCAAACAGATAGCACCTGAGTATTTTGAGAAGAGTGAACCTTATTTGGAAGCGGGTAAGTTAAACATTGGATGAGTTTTAAAGGAGTTTTAAAACATTGAAGGAGTTTTAAAAATTTTACTGGAAATGTGTGATAAAAATGAAGTTGAGTTCTAAGAAATCAGATAACAATTTAAGGATATATGATGGGAGAGAGATATAAAACTATTTGGCATCTCTATCTAAAAAAAACCAAAAACTGTGTCTTTTATCTCTTCTAATCATACAGGTGATGCTTATTTATTAAGATAATAGTGAATTTTGAGTTGACAGCTCTAATAGAGTACTATTGAACAGAAAGAAATCCTTATGTCACTCAGTACAGATGCACTGCCAGGTGGTGTGCTTTTGTAGCTAATTTTAGTAGTAATACATGAAAACTCCCTTTAACCTTATTAATTTGTTGCTTTTAAAAATTTTATTAACTAATCTATATCCTAGAACCTATGTGTATTTCTGAGTGAAGTATAAGATATTTTCATCACTTCTATTTTTCTTTTACTTTTGTCTTCTATTCTCAGTATATTTTTCCTGCTGTGTAGAAAGTAGAGTTCTAATTTTTAATGCCCCATTTTTAATACTTTAATATTGCTGCTTATACTAAGGAAATGTTTTGTTCCATTTTTCAGCTTGTAATGATGTTGATCGATGGCCTGCCCCAGTACCAGGGAAAACGTTACACCTGCCTATCATGGGGGTGGTAATGAAGGTATATATCTTATATCTCATTTGTCTTTCTTTTAAAGAGCTCTCTAAGAAGTACACACATGGATTTTGCTGTATAACTTCCTAATAACATTTAGTCTTGTTATATTTTTTTGTTTATTTTTGTTTGTTTTGTTGGCAGCTGGCTGGTGCAGGGACCTGAACCCTTGACTTGGTGTTATAACAGTACTCTCTAGCCAGCTAAGCTAACTAGTCAGCCCATAGTCCTGTTATTGCTTTCACTTGTTTGTCATTGATATGAGGCATTGCAGAGATACCATAATTCATTCTGCTTCACAGAACCAGTGGTCACACTACTCCAGGTGCCTCCAGTCCCATTGCATCCTGTAGAGTTTGCACAAGAGTGTCATTCATATGTAATACATGTGAACGTAACACCTCCTAGACTTTTGCAACTGCATGGTCCTACCAGTCCCTCCAGAGATGGGTGGTGTGCTGAAACAGATTATTTGTAGAATTGAATGTGAATTACTAAAAATTAAGAGAAATTAGGAAAGCCATTGGTACTTAGTCTAAATGATCTTAATGTGTAATGTCAGACCAGATATGTTCATCCGAGGGTATTGTTCTCTATTAGTTTTTTTTTTTTTAATGAATTAGCCTTTTGTTCTTAGGCTTTATATGAGTATACTCTAAGTGCTTTGCAATTCACTATCAAGTTGGACTTGTTTTTGACAGAGTTTAGCTCTTTAGGTGTGCTCATTTTTGTGAGATGTGTGTATTAGTCCGTTTTGTGTTGCTTATAACAAAATACCTGAAACTGGGTGATTATAAAGAAAAATGACATTGGGGCTGGCCCCGTGGCGCACTCGGGAGAGTGCGGGGCTGGGAGCGCAGCGACGCTCCCACCAGGGATTCAGATCCTACATAGGAATGGCTGGTGCGCTCACTGGCTGAGTGCGGTGCAGGTGACACCACACCAAGGGTTGCGATCCCCTTACCGGTCACGAAAAAGACAAAAAAAAAAAAAAAAAGAAAAATGACATTTATTTATTGCTTACAGTTTCTGAGGCTGGGAAGTCCAAAATTCATCTGGTGGTGGCAACAGTGACCCAGCGGTCTCACATTGCAAGAGGGTGGAAGCAGAGAGAGTGAAAGACAGACGCTCCTCTTCTTTTAAAGCCTTCAGAACCATGCCCCTGACCACCGTTTTTAATACATTCACTACTGCACGGTCCTACAATCCAATCACCTCTTGTAAGGCTCCACCTTACAATTATCATAATAGGATTTCCCATCCTGTTAACAGTCACAGTCGGGGCTAAGTTTCTAATACATAAAACTTGGGGAATACAATTCAAGCTTCAATAGTTTTGGGGGACATAATTCAATCCACTACATTCCACCCCTGGCCCCCCAAAACTCATGTCCTTTTTACATGCAAATATATTCATTTCATTCCCAAAGTCTTAACTTGTTTCAACTCAAAAGTCCAAAGTTCAAAGTCTACTCTGAGAAATTCGAAACAAGTTATCTACTTCCAAGATACAATGGTGGGACAAACATAGGGTACATACATATTCCCATTCCAAAAGGGAGAAATAGGCCAAAAGAAAAGTGTAACAGGTCACAAACAAGTCCAAACCACAGCAGGGCAGGCATTAAATCTCAAAGCTGGTGAATCTTGTAACCTGATTCCATGTTCAATGTCCTCTGTATGCTCGTATGGGGGTTGGGTCCCCAAGTCCTCTGGCAGCACCACTCCTATGGCTTTCCTGGTTGCAAGCCACACTTCAGCTCTCCCAGGCTGGGGTTCCACTCTGGTAGCTCCACAGGTCTGGGGTCTCCATGGTGGTCCCTCTCTCACAGCTCCACTGGGCATGACACTGATGGGGTTTCTCTGCTGCAACTCAGACCCCACGTTTCCATTTGGCATTGCTCTAGCAAAGGCTGTCTGCGGTGACTCTGCCCCTGTGATAGATCTCTTCCTGGGCCTCCAGACTTTTCCATACATCCTCCAAAATTGAGGTGGAGGCTCCTAAGCCTCCACAGCTCTAGCAGTCTGCATACCTGCAGACCTAACACCACATTCATACTGCCAAGGCTTCTGGCTTGTATATTCCAAAGCTGCACGTCCAGCCACACCTGGGGCCAATTTAGCCATAGCTGGAGTAGCCAAAGCAGCTGGGGTGCTGGTGCTTGAAGCCAGTTCCTGAGGTGGTCCTGAGCAGTGAGCCTGTGGAGGGTGCCTCAGGCCTGTTCTCCAAGACCATTTTGTCTACCTAGGCCTTTTGGCCTGAAATGGAAGGGCTGGCCCCAGAGGCTTCTGCATTGCCTTCAGGGCCTTTTTCACCTCTTTATAATCCCTTTCCTTTGTACTTATCTTCTTAACCAGTGGTTGCTGGGCTGCACCATTGCATGCTCTCTGCTTCTCTATCACATGGCTAGGCTGCAAAGTTTCTAAACCTTTACACTCTGCTTCCCTTTTAAATTCTGGCTTTATGTCATGCTTTTGCTGCCATAACTCTGTATAGGCTGTTACGAGTAGCAATGCAGCTTCTTTAATGCTTTGCTGCTTAGAAATTTCTTCTGCTAGGGCCAGCCCATGGCTCATATGGGAGAGTGCAGTGCTGATAACACCAAGGCCGTGGGTTTGGATCCTATATAGGGGTGGCCGGTTGGCTCACTGACTGAGCATGGTGCTGACAACACCAAGCCAAGGGTTGAGATCCCCTTACCGGTCATCTAAAAAAAAAAAAAAATTTCTTCTGCCAGATACTTTGGTTCACAACTCCTAAGTTCCAACTTCCACAAAGTCCTAGGGCAGGGACACAATGCAGCCAAGTTCTTTGCCAGTTCACAGAAAGGGTGATCTTTGCCCCAGTTTCTGAAAAATTTCTCCTTATTTCTATCTGAGACCTCCTTAGAATGGTCTTTATAGTCCAAATTTCTGTCAGCATTCTGCTCGCCACCACGTAACCAGTCTCTAAGACATTCCAAATTTTCCGTCTTCTTTTTCTTTTCTTCTGAGTCCTCCAAACTCCTCCAACCTTTGCCCAACACCCAGTTCCAAAGCTGCATCCACATTTTCAGGTGTCTGTATAGCAACACCCCACTTCTCTGGTACGAATTTTCTGTATTAGTCTGTTTTGTGTTGCTATAACAGGAATACCTGAGACTGGGTAATTTATAAGGAAAAGAGGTTTATTTGGCTTATGATTCTGGGACAGCTGCATCTGGCACCAGTCTCAGGCTGCTGCTACTCATGGTGGAAAGTGGCAGGAGCCAGAAGGTACAAGCAGATCACATGGTGAGAAGAAGCAAGAGAGAGGAAGCAAAAGAGAGAGAGGAGGTGCCAGGGTCTTTTAAACAGCAAGTTCTTGCAGGAACTAATAGAGTGAGAACTCACTCATTACTCCCCCCACCTAGGGAGGGATGCATTCATGAGGGATCCACCCCCATGACTCAATCAGTTTCCAACACCTCCACAATGGGGATCAGATTTCCACATGAGTTTTGGTGGAGACAACACATCCAAACTCCATCATTGTGTATTCTCTTTTTCCCTAGGAAATCATCAAAAGTATACTGATAGCTCTGGGTTGAGAGCTCTCATTGTTTCCTGTGAGATTTATCCAGAAGTTTGGCAAGCTAGAGAGGGTGTGTTTGGGTGTGTGTATATTAATGAAGCAAAGATTGGAACAATAAACAGGAAGCAGTTTGAAGTTGATGTCCTTTTTCTTTTTTTCAGCACATTTGCTTCTCAGTGATTTAGTGATTTTTATGTGTATTGGAGTATGGAAACGTTAGTTTACTTACTTTCTGCTGTGACTAAAAATAAATATGATCTCAGTTTCTTTTTTTTTTTTTTTTCTTTTTTTGTCTTTTTTCGTCACCGGTAATGGGATCGCAACCCTCAGTGTTGTGCCCGTACTGCAGCTGGCAACGGGATTGCAACCCTCGGTGTCGCACCCACACTGCGCTCAACCAGTGAGCGGACCGGTCTCTATATGGGATCCGAACCCTCGGTGGGAGCGTCACCACGCTCCCAAGCGCCGCACTCTATGGAGTGCGCCATGGGGCCGACCCTGATCTCAGTTTCTTAATCTGATGTAAATATTTTGTTTTTATAGCTTTTTAGGCATGCTGAGAATACGTTTTTAGCAGCTGGGTAGAGAACTTCTGATCCCTCATTCTTTACTAACAAAAGATAATTTCTTCTCTTTCTGTTTAAGGTACGGATTCCCACATGTCATGACAAGCCTGGGACAACACAAATAGTGCAGTTAACTCAGCAGGTATTGTGGTAGAATGATGTAGCACATACAGTTTCTTTAACAGAACTTTAAAACTAGCAAATGCAGAGTTTCTTGGGTTTATTACATATTTCTGAATATTACTGAAATATCCTGTGAAATAATTTTTTAGTGAATTGATAATAAATGTTCTAATGTTTTTTAGGGTTTTTTTCCCCCCTTGTTATTCTGCAGTAGACAGTGTAATTGTGAGAACAGGGGAAAGTAAATATTTTTTTCAACAAGATTTAATTCTGGAAAAACCTTTTATTTTAAAATAGTCGCCAGGAGACTTCTGATTTTAGGAAACTCAGTCAGAAGAATTCTGTACTTATGATTGCCTTTAATTTTTCCAGAAGTAACATCTGTTTATGGGTGGGGTTGAATTCTTCATTTGAAATGTTTTAACTGGTGTGTTAGCACTCCTATTATTCTTTAAATTGAATAAAAATGGGGAGCAGTAGGAAAAGTAATTTTGCCTGTTACATATATTGATGGAAGTATTTCATATAGCTGTGAATTAATCTAACATCTGACAATTGGATTAATTCTTTATTCATGGTATCTGTGTTATTCTCCATCTTCTGCTGTATAAGGGTAGATTAAGACCCATTCTCTGTCTGGCTGTTCCTGGAGGAATAGAATCTTAAAAAGAGCAATATGACTTATTGATCATGAGATAGATAGGCATATTTTAAAAATCAATTTTTACAAATTTTGGTAATATTTTCCCTATTATTTTTCTTTTCTTTTAGGCAGACACACATATATCTGTTATTTTACCTACTGTTCATGAGGTGGATCTTTTCAGGTAAAGCGTAAAAAACTTTTTAAACTGCCTTTCCTAGTTTGCTTTGTTGTTAATTTATTTAGAAAACGTATGTTCTTATAGAGGAAAAAATTAGAAGAAATTAGTCATTTTGTTTTACATGCTATAAATCAGTGGTTCATCCCTGGCTGCAGGTTATAAGCTTTGACAAGGTGAATTGGATATGGATTGGTAAAAACAAATTATTTTTTGTTTGGTTTGGTGTGAGAATGGTATTGTAATGATGTTAGAAAATGCATTTTCTTTTTTTTACAGAGATGCATTTTAAAGTATTTTGGGAAGAAATGGCATGCAGTTTGTGTTTTAACATACTTAAATAAGAAAAAATAGAAGAAGTAGAAATGGGAATTATTATTAATCATTAAATCTAGGTGATCTGTGTATGATGGTTCTTACACTATTGTCTATTTTTTGGTATGTTTGAAAAATTTCAAAATGCAAAATTAAAAAGCAAAAAAAAAAACTCTAGCACTTAGAAAAGAAAGGAAAAAGAAAGTACCAATGTTTGTGCCCTTACCCAGAGCAAAAAGAAATCTTTGGATTGGTGCCCACATTCTGGCTCCTCAGGTGGTTCTGATATATAGTCCAGCTTGAGAAACCTCTGTTATAAATGAGCAATTACTGAATACTAAAAGAGTCATGAAAGACATAAAATGGTGTGTTTTTTTTTGTGGGTTTTTCTTTTGATGACTTTTAAATTCCATGGATTACTGCTTTGAAGATTAACTAGTTTTATATGCTTTGATTTATTTTATATACTTACTTCTAGCAAAGCCCAGTAATCCTAATTCTAAGTATTTACTCAATAAAAATGAAAACATACACTTACACAAAGACGTATATGCAAATGTTTATATGGCAGCTTTATTCATAACAGCCTAAAACTGGACACAAACTCAATGTCCATCAACTGTTGAATGGATAAACAAAATATAATACTTGCATGCACAGGGAATACTACTCAGCTGTAAAAAAAGAATGAACCATAGTGTTTGACTTTCAAGAGAATTATGCTTAGTGAAAGGAATCAGATTTTTGAAAGCTACTTACTGAATGATTCCGTTTAGATGGTATTTGGGAAAAGGCAAAAACTATATATAGGGACAGAAATCAAATCAGTGGTTGCCTGGGATTGGGGTAGGGAGATTGATTATAAAGAGGACAAAGGAATTTTTTAAGGTAATGGAACTATTCTGTCTTTGATAAAGTTGAATTTTACTGTATGTAAATTATGTTACTTAAAAACATTAATTAAAAAAAATTATATGTTATAGCATTCTTAGAATGAAAAGGGGGAATATCCCCAAAATCAATGAATAAATATCACAGGAAAAATATATACTAAGAGGGATGCATACTATTTATAGTTTTGATCCTTGATTCATTAAAGAATAATTTGAAGAACTGGCATAAGTTAATATAGAGTTCATTTACTAGACATTTTTCCTTTTGAACTTATGGGTGTAAGGCTTATGCTTTTTTGTTATTGATTATCTTTGCTTTAGTGGTAATTAATTACCCCCATCACTAACACCTGTGATTAGCATGTGTCTCTTCTCCTGAATATAATTACAAGTTAGTGTTTTCAAAATAGGAAAGATTAATTTGTTGTTTCTTAATTCTTGCTTCTGAAGAGATGAAAAAACTAAACCTTGAAAAATAATCTCACACAGTGATAGTACTATGTCATGCATTTAATATCTGATTATCAGATTAATGTTTATCCATGCCAATACTCTATATTTTGTGTGTAGAGCTTATATTTTACATTTATTAGTGTGAATAAAAATTTAAATATTGATCAGTTATATTGATGGTGATAGTTTTACACCAAGACTGAGCTTGAAAGCAAAGGACGGAGACCTGGAAAGGTGTGTGAAATTGAGCAGCAGAGATTCAGCTGAATGTAGGGGCCCATGTGCCTCCTTTCATGGGTCAAGGATTGTTATGGTCTATTCCATAAACCATGTCTTTAGTTTCAGCTCTCTCTTTATCACAGAAATAGTCTTCTCATTCACTTTTTTTTTTTTTTTGTCTTTTTTACTGACCGGTAACGGGATCGCGCACCGCGCTCAGCCAGTGAGCGGGAACCGGTCTCCACATGGGATCCGAACCCTCGGTGGGAACGCCGCCACGCTCCCAAGCGGCGCACTCTCCAGTGTGCCACCGGGCTGGCCCCTCATTCACTTTTTAAGCTGAGATTGGAATTGAAGGGCAGTTTCTGTTGAAAGAAACTGACATCTTCTTGCCTTAGAGTCAGGGACATTTTACATGATGATACTTGCTTTGGTACCTAGTACAGAAAGAGACACATCAAGTGTGCTTTCCCCCATCTCCCTTAATACTTTACAGTTTATTTGCTACAAATAAGAATACAATGCAACCATCAAAATTGGGGAAGTTAACATTAATAAATTAATATTGTCTAATACTAAGACCACATTAAAATGTTACCAGTTGTTAGAATAATATCTAGTGTAGAATCATCTTTTACTTTTAGCTGTTATGTCTCTTTAGTCTCCTTCGGTCTAGAATACTTCCTCAGTCTTTCTTTAACTGTCACAACTCTGATATTCTTGTGGATTACAGGACAGTTATTTTACAGAAAATGCTTCAGTTTAGGATTGTTTGGTAATTACTCATGATTAGATTCAGGGTCTGCATCTTTGGCAAGGAGGTGGCACCCAAGTTTAGCTCGCCTTGTTATCGATGGTGGTCATTTTGATCACCTGATTAATGTGGTGTCCTCCAAGCTTCTCCAGTTATTCTTTTTTCCTTTTGTAATTAAGTATTTTGTGGGGAGGTACTTTGAAACTATGTATATTAGTTATTTATTGCTGTGTAGTAAATTACCTCAATATTTAGATGCTTAAAAGAACAAACATTTCACACAGTTTCTGAGGGTTAAGTATCTGGGAGCTGTGTAGCTGGGTGGTTCAGGGTCTCTTACGTGGTAGCGGTCAATCGTTATCTGAGATTTCAGTCAGTTCATCATGTGGGTCCATAAGGTCTGCTTCCCTATAAGGCTTATTCACAATGACTGTTGGCTGGAGGTCACAGTTCCTCGTGACCATTGGCAGGGGACCTCATTCCTAGCCTGTGGACCTCTCCATAGGGCTGCCTGAATGTTCTCACAACATGCTAACTAACTTTTCCCAGAGTGAGCACTGAGAGAAGGCTGAAGCCACAATGTTTTTTATGGCCCAGCCTTCAAACTTGTAAATTGTCACTTCTGCCTTATTCTGTTCATTATAAGCCACTAATTCAGCCCACACTCAACAAGGGAAGGTTTAGGCTCCATGTTTTGAAAGGAGTGTCAAAAAATTTATGGACATATTTTAAGTCACCACACTCTTTTTGTATAAAAGTATCTGTATAGACTCTTGGTTTCCTGTTTTATTCAGTGGTTATAATTCATTATTCTCAACTATTCTGATGTTCAGATTGTCCCCAATTTGGCCAGTGAGAACCCACTTCAAGCTGGCTTCTGTGTTCTATTGATATATCCCTGTCATTCTTTGAACACTTCCTTGCTTTCTGGTGCAAGATATTCCAGGTTTATTTTTTTTCGTAGTTAAAAAAAAAAAAATTGAGATATAACATACCATATAATATTCACCCTTTTAATGTACAACTCGGTAGTTTTTAATATATTTACAAAGTTGCACAACCTTCAGTACTATCTAATTACAGAACATTTTTATCACCTCAAAAAGTAACCCCATTCTGATTAGGAGTTCCCATTCTTTCTTCCTCCAGGCCCTGGCAACCACTAACTTACTTTCTTACTTTTTTGGATTTGCCTATTCTGGACATTTCATATAAATAGAAACATACAATAAATAGAATCATACAATATGTTGCCTTTTATGTCTGCCTTTTTTCACTTAGCAAAATGTTTTTAAGGTTCTTCCATGCAGTACCATGAATCAGTACTTCATTCCTTTTATGGCTGAATAATATTCCATTGTATGGATATACCACATGTGCTTATCCATTCATTTGATTGAGATTTGGGCGGTTTCTACCTTTTGGTTATTATGAATAATGGTGCCATGAAAATTTGTGTGTAAGTCTTTGTGTGTACGTGATTTTTCAATTCTTTTGTGTTCCAAGATTATCTTGTATTTTCTCTTCCTTAGCCCTGGAATCAGCCATTTCTCCAAAGAGCCTTGATTCTTTTTAGTGGAGGATAGGATTTAGAAGACAAGATCTGGACATTCAGTGTGCTCATTGGGGTATTTTTGCTTTTAGACATTCTCAGTGGACAGAGCTGGGCATGTGTGTGTGTCTGTAAATATGTGCATACATATACAATCATATATAATATAACATATATACATGTTTATATAGATATTTATTTCTGTATCCATATATATATTAAAAACCATAAAGTCACACCAGTAACCCCCATTCCAGTGCAACACAGCAGGGTTCATTCTAGTTTTCTCCCTTTTCATATTTGTATTTTTCTGAGAAACTACCTCCTATTATTCTTAATTTATTTACTGATTTGATCAATCTACCTGTTTGTAATAAATCTCCCATCTCTTCTGCAAACCTGTCCCCTGGGAAAATGCCTTTCTCAACCCTCCTGGGCTCTGACACTCCACAGCCAGCTACCTTTCTGCATGGACACCCTCCTTACATTGCTCAGTCTCTGATTCCCCATGCCCGATTGACCCTCATGTGGGATACCCTCCTACCCCATTCAGGTACTTACACCCACTAGACCACTTCTCTAAATGGATGCCATCTTCTCCCTGCTTGGGCTCTGATGCTTGATGCCAGGCCAACCCCTCCACACGAATGCTCCCCTTACCCTTCTTGTATGCCTACACACCCCACCCCAGGCCACTTCTCCATGGGGATACCCTCATTCTGCTCTGACACTTCGTGCCAGATGGTCCAACACCATGGACAACCTTCTCAACCCACTCTGGCTCTGACCCTATATACCAGGCTGCCCTGTTGGTTCCTCGCCACCAGGGACCAACAACACAGGGCGGGAAGGGACCCCGGACCAGCCGGCGGTAACCTCTTGTGGGGCTGAGTGGGATGATGAGTGTCGCAGGCCCGATCCCCTCTGCGCTTCGGCCCCGGGGACAAAGAAAGAACACCGAGCCAGGAGAGCGGTCAAAGCCGGAACTCTGTTTCTTACAGCAAGCAGGGGTTTTTATAAGGTACCAGGGGCGGGGGAGCTCTTATCCCATAGGGAGTTGACACACTGCTACCCGGGAGGAGGGGTGAGGTCAGAGCAGGGGGGAAAAAAGTGCAGAGTCACCGTACCCCGGAAGTTAGTTCTTTTAAGTTTTGAGTTCTCCGCTTAGGTTTCGGTTTCCCAGAATCAGCCCGAAGCAAGTTTAAAATGGCTGAGGTACTTTCCCAAAATGGCTGGCGGCCCAGGCGTAGCCCAACGCTGCCCCTTTCTGCTTCCTGGGCTGTCACCCCAAACCAGATCACCTTCACACATGTACACCTTCCTTATCACATTTGTGCTCTATTTGTATAGACTGCTGCCTGCACATAGATATCCGCCTTACCTTGCACAGGCTCTATACCCCCTTCTGGACCAGTGTGGCTCTCTTGCCCTCATGGCGAGATGCCAACCATTTTGTGCTTTAGGATGGAATTATTTAGGAAGGGAAGAGGAAGAGCTTCTTTTGTCCTATCTGTGAGCTGGGTTTTATTTTTTTCTATTTTTTCTCTTTTTTTTTGCACTTCCTCACATTTCTTGCCTTTGAATAGTTGAAATTAACTCTCCCTATTTCCATCTCACAAATTTGTTTCCTATTTTTGCACTTCAGTGTTGTTTTGGTTTTTCTTCTTTTCGTGTGGGTGTCGGTTTTCAACTCGGTGAATTGTTTATAATTTTCTTAAGTAGATAAGTTTTACCTCTAATCTACTAGGAAAAATTGTTACCAAGTCAGGAGGCAATTACTGAACAAGTAAAAGTTACCGAATGTCTGAGACTTAGTAACATATTAGCAGGTTTGTGTCCTGAGGGCCTCTGCCCAATTCCAGGGCAGTTACAATGCAGCATTTCTGTAGAGGGAGGATCTGCCCAGGAAGTAAGTCCATTGCTTGGCATTAGAACTCCCTCTTGTGATTTGTTGTCATCATTCTTTAATGTGAAAAGTATCAACTTTTAAATTAAGTACGTCCAATGAATGCCTCTTGGAAGATTAATTTTTCTTGTTTTCTTCAAAATATTTAGAATAGAAATTCAAATGTAACAAAGCAATATTGATAATAGATCTACCATATGGAACAACAATTTAATAATTATATGCTTTTATTGTTTGTCAGCTATTCTGCGTGTCAGTCTATTGTATTTAATTTTGTAAAAATTGGAACAAGTCAAATTGATGTTTATATTTATGTGGATAAAAGGAACTTAAGTGTCTATGCATCACCATATTCTAAATGAATATGTATATTAGGTCAAGATACAAATAGCAGGAAGAATTTATATCCGTATGAAGTTTAGAATGATTATGTAGAAATTTTTAAAAATAGGATTAGAATACTATTCAGCTGTAAAAAAGAAGGAAATACTTCCCATTTGTAGCACTGTAGATGAACCTGGGGACCATTATGTGAAGTAAGCTGGGCACAGAAAGACAAATACTGCATGATCTTACGCATATGTGTGATCTAAAAAAATGTTTACATAGAAGTAGAGAGTAGAATAGTGGTTACCAGAGGCTGGGGAGGGAGAAAGAAGGGTTGAGGGGGTAGAGGGTGGTCAATGGGTAAAAAGTTATCTCTGAGATAGTAAGAATAAGTTTCGGTGTTCTAAGGTGACTATAGCTAATAATATTGTACTGTATATTTACAGATGGCTGGAAAAGAGGATTTTCATTGTTCTCACCACAAAGAAATGGTGAATGTTTGGGTGGTGGATATGCTAGCTATCCTGAATGGATTGTTATACAATATATGCATGTATTCAAACAACACACTATACCCCATAAACATACAGTTTAAAAAACAATAAAAGAACAAAAGAAAAAAAAAGATTGGATAAATAACAGAATATTTCTATTGTATAAAAACCTTTTAGGTGTTTCTGCCCAGTTTTCCTTCATAGTCAGATGCTTTGGGAACTGGTGCTTTTGGGGGAGCCCCTTGTGGTCATGGCACCATCACCATCAGAGTCCTCAGAGACTGTATTGGCTCTTGTTAAGTGAGTATATTTGGTTCCTTATGGTAATATTTGCAGCACTTTCTTATTTGCTCATTTGTGTTAGGTTTCCTCGCACATTATTGCATTGATCCACACAACAATACTGTCAGAAGATAGTGCTTATTATAGCATCATTTTGTGGATTAAAAAATTGATTCAGGGTTCATAAAGGTTGGAACCATGTTTTTGTTGTTCTGAGTGACAAGCACATTCATTCACTTATATGAAGCTGGCCCTTGATAAATATTAATTGCATGAATAGTAAATTAATAAATATTAGTTGCGTTTAGTCAAAGGCACATACCTAGTGAATGATAGAGCCAGAATTTCACTCCATCTTCTGCCCCAAGCCCAGTGTTCTTTCAGTATGCCATTCCACATTACATATTTCCATTTATTTTTCTAGTTCCTTGAAATGAGTTTACTGTTTAATGAAATAAGTAAATTATCCTGTTGGGTGTGTACTGTTTGTTCAGATGTTTCATAGTTATGGAGTAGGGCCTTTAATTTCTGTTGTCTTTGTTTTACATGTTCTTCCTTCTCTACAGCTGTATTTCTCCATTAAAGTACTTCAGTGATTTCCGGCCTTATTTTACTATTCATGATAGTGAATTCAAAGAATATACTACCCGGACTCAAGCTCCGTGAGTAAACAGAATAACTTTTATTGACCAGGTATTACTTTTATAACCAAAATTATGTAGAATTATTTTTGGTAATAAAAGTTTAGTTTAAAATTTGAACTTATAGGCAGATTGATTTTATAAAGCTGCTGGTAATAATTTCAGATTTTAAGAGTTAGTATCTTATTTTCTATGAGTGATTTTATTTATTAATGGAAGCTATATTGTCATTAATAGCTATCAGACTGTACTTTTGATTCTACTTCCCTAATGAAAATATTCCCAATCTGTAAAAGGAAGACATAATCTTACCCTTTCCCTTTGAGCTGCTGCCCTGTTGCTCACTTTCTTTTCATAGCTAAGTTTTAATAATAACAACAACAAAAATCTTCATTTACTCTTTCTACTTCTTGATTTTCTTTTTGCTTCTCAGTCAACTGCAGATTGTCTTCTCCACATCCATTGAATTTATTTATTCTTGCCAAAGTCATGAAGACCCTTCTCATTGCCTAACCCAATAAGCACATTATTGTTCTACTTTTCCCATCTTTTCTTTCTTGTAACATTTACACTGTTGACCTTGAAAATATTTTAATCCTTGACACCACTCTCCTGGTTATCTGGTGGTACATCTCAATATCCTTTGCAGACTTTTTCTTTCTGCTAATCCCTTAAATATTGGTGTTCTCTGCTATTCTGGATTCTGATCTCGGGTTGATAATTCTTTCTGCACAATCTTATCTGTGCCCATGGCCTTTGTTAACATCCTGTACTAATGACTGAAGTATATCTTCCAAGCCACAATCTCTGTGAGATCCAGACCTATATATCTAAGTTTTATAATTCTTTTTTTTTTTTTTTTTAAGCACATTACCACCTGGACATCTTAAAGACATCTGAAACCAAACATGTTCAGACTGAATTCTTTTTGTCTCCTTCTTTTCTCCCCTAATCTCATGCCTCTTTCTTTTTTTCATGAATGATGTTAGTTTTTAATTAGTTATCAGAAACCTAAATTGTCATAAATTTCTCCTTTTTTAATATTCTCCACATCAAATTTTACCAAATTATGTCAATTCAACATCTTAAAATCTCTCTCATAACATTTGTTAACTTTTTTCCATAGCCCCTTCTTAGTCTTACTGCCTCTAGTCTTTCTCATATTCGCTGTTGCTCTTCCCCCAACCCCTCCTATCCTTATAGAGCATCTTCCAAATTTCTCCTAGAATGATCTTTTTCTAATAAGCACATTTTCATTCATGTGGCATTCCTCCACTTACTTCTCTAGTAGCTCCCAGTTTTGACTATTCATCCTTCCTGCTTTGTACTCCAAGAATGCTGAACTATGTAGTTCTACAAGCAGATCATGATCTCACTTCATTGCTCTGCACATACTGTTTGTTGTGCATCACTCTCGCCTTCCTTATCCACTTGGCAGAAAACTCCTACTCCTCTTTCACATCTTCGTGTAAATGTCTCTTTGGTAACGCTGCCCTTAAGTCCCCTGGTAGACATAAGTTCTCTTTTGTGATTATTGTGTATTTCATACCACGTTCACTGTCTTCTAATTTCTGGCATCATAATTGAGTATATATACCCTTCTTCCTATGTGCTATTAGAAGGACCTGTCTTTTCATCTTTATATGTCTAGTGCTAAATATGTTGCCTGGCATGTAGTAGATATGTAACATGTTAAGTAAAGGAAAAGATAATTTATGTTTTGTTTACTCCAAATAAATTGTAAGCTATTCTTCACTGATTTAACATTCATCTTTTTCTCACCTTTTTTTTGTTTACTTTATTTTTGTGCAGGCCTTCAGTCATATTAGGAGTGACCAATCCTTTTTTTGCTAAAACACTCCAGCACTGGCCACATATTATTCGAATAGGAGACCTTAAACCTGCAGGTAAAGTATAAACTTGGTGTTCTGTTTTTAGTGTACAATGTGGCTAAGGAGGCTTATTTCTTCCCCTTTGTTTTCATTCCTTGGTTACTTTTTATGTCAATGTCAACTTTCTTTGAGGCAACCTAAGGAAGGTCTTTTGGAGAAGAGTATAACTTCCCATTAAAATATGCAGGTTCTTATATGTATAACCCATCGTGTCCCTCTACCAAAAAATGTACCTACAATGTTATAAATATTGAGTGAATTATAATAAAAGGAAACCTCAAAAATTTGAGCTTTTTAATATACGTATAAACTCTATAAAACAGGAATTTCCAACACTTTGAATAAAACTTTGTAGAAAACTAGCATTATTCCAGGCTTGGCACAAAATTCTCATCTAGGTCTCAAAACAAGTATTTTACATCCCTGTGGCACAGATATTGGTTAAGGGAGTGATCAAAAGATTGTGCTTTGGGGGCCGGCCTGGTGGCGCACTGGATAAGTGTACCGCTTGGGAAGCGCGGTGGCGCTCCTGCCCGAGGGTTCGGATCCCACATACAGACCAGTTCCCGCTCGCTGGCTGAGCGAGGCGCGGGAGCGACACCGAGGGTTGCAATCCCGTTGCCGGTCCCCGGTCCGGTACGGGGGCAACACTGAGGGTTGCGATCCGTTGCCGGACACGGAAAAAGACAAAAAAAAAAAAAGAAAAAA